TCGCACTGTAAGAATTAAAAGGGAAAAGGGAGTTTCTTTTTGTAGGTAAAAGCGGAAAACGCTTTTGGGCCTGGAAACTAGTTTCTTTAGCTCCAAACTTTGCGTAAGCTTGTTAGCGAGGCTGTGAAAAGCATAAGTTTGTGTGTGTTTATTTGTTTATTGTTCAGGGCATGGTTGAACCAGGCCAAGTTGTGACCCAAGCCTTAAAGGCCGAGTTTGGGGAGGAAGCGATGGCAAAACTTAGTGTTACTGATGAGGAAAGAGAGAAGATTAGTATATTGGTCGAAAGACTTTTCAAAGAAGGAGTTGAGGTAAGTTGTTGCTCAAATGATACTCGAGATAAAGTCATAAAAGTAATAGCATACTTCCACGCCCACGATCAGGTTTTAAATGTGAACCAACCACACAAATGATTGCAAAAATGGGCCTGTAAGCAGTGTTGAATAAAGTATTACAAACAAACCCGGGAGTTACAGTAAACACCCGCTAATAAGAACCTGTGGATTAAGAACCTCCGGGCAGAAATTTGCCACTTTAATATCCCAAAAAATACAAGAACCTGTTTAGTCCAGCAAGATCAAGCAGGTTCTTATATGTGAGTTACAGTTAAATTATGATCTGTAAACAATTTAGCAAAGGAGTGTAACTTTGAGTTGTAAATTTAAATGTAACAAGAACATACTGTGCTAAACTGTATATAAATTTGTCAGTCAGTTTTGTTAGGGTTATGATAATGCAATTGTGAATAAATAAAAAGTTTATTTATTTTCTGGTAGTCAATAATCTATTATCTCCTTCATAAAAAATAAGAACCTGAATTGCCAATAAGTACCCCAAAATACAAGAACCTGTTTTACCAGACTTCGGAAAAGGTAGGTTGTTATTAGCGGTTGTTTACTGTACTCCCTATAATGGCATATATGGGGAGGCTCCGCACGAAGGGGTACCTTTTTCAGGCTTCGGGTATATGAAAGGGTAGAGGTTTCACTTGTTCAGATATAAGAAAGGGTGGGGAAATCTGTCATTGCGGTTGGAAAAAGGTCCAAAAGAGCTAACAGATGCATTTTGTAGCTGTGAAAAAGTCGAGAAAATGTTCTGGTTTTGTGATTTATTCATGTTTAAAAGACAACGAATTTACGGCAGTATAAAGGGATGGAAAGTTTTAAACTAAGTATGTGAAAGGGGTACCATTTGTCAATAGAATGTATGGGAAAGGAGTACCTTTTCTGCCAAAAATGGTATATAAAAGAGTAAAAGGTTGGACCTCGGGGCGGAGCCTTTTCGTATAAAACTCTGTTGAGTACCTCCCACCCTGGGAAGACAAACGAAAGGTGATATCCCAAATCGAAAATTCCCTTGCATGCACAACATAACGCTGCATGATAGGCATCATGATGCTTTTGCAGGTTTACAAAGGTTACGTAGACGATCCGCGAAACACAGATAACGCTTGGATGGAGACAGTGGCAGTGAATTTTCATGATGATACAGGAGAAGTATTCAGTGAATTTAAATTGCAAGTGAGTAACCTATTCAGACTGTTCTCTTGTGAAGTGTCGCGTAGCGTGTCTGTAGGCATACACGTCTGGTTATATAGTTTGTGAAGAAAACGTCTTTCTCATAGACTTAAAAAATTGTGACAAAATTCTATTTCTTTGTTTTTTTTTTTTTTTTTGGTCCCCAGGCAGGAGATGATGCGGCTGCAGTACGCTGGCAGAGAGTCAGCGGTAACATTCCGCTCTTTGCAAGTCACGTGTCCATTTTAGAGAAAGTAGCAAAGATGAGAAATGCTGCATTTTAACCATAGTTCTCTGAAAATACAAGAAGTTCATAAGTAGCCGCCTCTTTATTGAAACCGTACTTTTTATGCAAGAAAAAAAGGCTACCGAACCAATACGTGGTTTTAAGGGCCTTACGAAGCAAACTAACACTTTGCTACCTCTTTGCATAAAATAGAAAACATACGTCGTGGACGCAAACTGTGGTCTTGGAAGAACAAATGTTATTTTGACCGGAACTAAAAGTATTTCATTACGACAGGGAAGCAATGATTTGCATGCGTGACATTTGTTTCTCGCGCGGCTAAACTACTTCCCATGACTATGTTTTCTTGTTTTGCCATAGTCTTGTTGAAATCAAATGAGGAAACAGTTAACTGTAATCGAAAAGATCTTAGCCCTTAAAAAAAGAAAAGATTTTAGCCCTTAAAATGGGGCCCGGTTCGGTGAGTAAAACACAGTCCTATTTTCGGGGTCCAATGTGGCTCCCTTAGTCAGGGCCAATACAGTCCGATTACCTAGGACTGATTTAGACCCATGGGTGGAAATGAGACACAGCTTGGGCTGGAATAGGCTTTTGATGGGGCTGTTTTGGCTCAAATGGCTCCTGGAGGGGCTCAAACAGATCTTTTCAATTTTCGGTGAATTTGAAGAACGAACAAATTACATTATTGCGGTCTTATAATAGAAGCAGTGAACGGAGAGAAGTATCTTACACGATGAAATTTAATAACTCATTCAGTAACTCACAACATTAATTATCAATCCATCGGGTAATGTACAGCATTCAAACGTTCAAAATTATTTTAAAAAATGTTATTTATTCACTGAATGGTCGGTCTGTTCAATTCACTGTAAATTCATAGGTTCGTGAGAGTATTGCATTTTATTAAGACGTTTTTCCTCGAACTGGAAAGTCCTATCTAATTTTAGAATAGCAAACACTGTACATTTTTGTATGAAAAGAGTCACTGAAGAGTGAAAGTATTTAAGTACGTACGGTTTTTTTCTGTGTCCTTTTTCCAATCCTTTAATGTAAAACACCGATTTTATTTTTTATGATCACTCACTACTGTGTTAAAAATTTTTGTCGTTTGCATTTCACTGGAACTTTTCCTTTCTGTGAGATTTTCTAACATTTACACTTGTCTATATTTGTCTATTTGTCTCATATTGTACTCGTGTTAGTTATGATAGAATATTTTTTGACGAAATTACTGATTGTATCAACAAATCACCAGGGCAAAATAAAACATTAACTTTTCTCAAGTTGTTTGAATTGTCTGTGATGAGAATAAAACTTAAATGCAAAGGCGGTTTTGGGATTACACCGTGTCTGAAAATTTGAAAAGGGTAGAAATATCGAATTCTACCTTTTTTCTGGAAAATTAAGCCCATTTTCCAATTTTTTTTATAAAGGTTTTGAGATTAAGTTAGCAATTATTGGTACAACTGTACTCGTTGATCGAAGGAGTAAAACCTTAAACAAAAAAGTGCCGAACAGTAAATCTTGGCCAAATCATTTTAAAGAGACTGTTGTTTCCTGATCGATTTAGGCCAGTCCGCAGTGAAGAAAGAAAGGCTTGTCCCACCATAGACATGAGGGTTTTTTTTCTTTCTTTTTTATTAAAGTCAGCGAGACTTATTTACTACGAGGCTGAACCACGTGCAGGGCTGCACAAAATGTATGTTAATATGTTTTCTTTTTTCCCAAAAATAGTGAGTTAAAAAATACTTAGTGCCCAAATTGAATTTCAAAGGCGCATAAAGTTTTTCAGCTCTTGGCCCAACTCTCGCTCGTCCGTCTTTCGCACCGGAAAGCTTGGTATGCAGTCAAAGGCCCATTATCCAGGACCTTCCACTTTATTTATATATTATAAGGCCCGGGTCAATCCCAGTAAACCACAATCTCGTCCCCCGAACCTGCGTTACCGATAAATGTCCACCACTAGCCACCTCCACTTCGGTGAGTAATTGTTATTTAATTAACGTGTAACGTACCCTGGGTGCCAGAGGCTTTTCACGTGCTTCGCCGCTCGTGTTTTCGGCCTACGGCGGAACACGTGTCGGCCTGTGGCCGACGAAAGGAAGTTCCCCGTCGCACGCGAGAAAAAACCTCTGGTTCCCAGGATACGTGTAACGTGGATGTGTAACATCAGTTGTCGTGGCGCAATAGATAACGCGTTGGCCTTACCTTCTTCGACTCCCAACAGAAGAAACCGTTGTTTCATTTTTGGATCGTTGTGTTTTGTTTTCTTTTTTTTTTTTTTTAGATATCTTTACTTTTTAAGAGACTTAGCCAGCTTTTTCATTTCCAAAATAATTAGTCCACTTGTTGTGGCTCAGTCAATCGCGTCCCCATCACCCCCCCCCCCCCCCCCCCCCCCCCCCCCCCCAAAAAAAAAAAAAATTTAAATTTTTTTTTTTATTTTTTTTTTTTTTTTTTTTTTTTTTTTTTTTTATTTTAATAAAAAATAGGGGGGGGTTGGGGGGGGGCCGCAACGGGCTTGGGAGGTTTGTTCTTTATATTTTATTTATTTCTTTTTTTTTTATTTAAAAAAATTTATTGTTTTTTTGGGGGGGGCGGGCGGTAACCTCTTTTTTTTGTTTTCTTTTGTGTGTTGTTTTTATTTTTTTCTGTTGTGCCTTCTCCTTTCTCCTCTCCCTTCTGATGTTTCCTTTTTTTTTTTTTTGGTTTTTTTTTTTTTTTTTTTTTTTTTTTTTTTTTTGATTTTTTTTTTTTTTTAGAGGTTTTGGCCGCTTTTTCCTTTCCCAAATAAATTCTCCCCCTTTTTTGGGCCAATCAAATCGCTTCCCCTTCCCCCTCCCCCCCCCCCCCCTTTCCACTCTGCAATAAATAAGAAAGTTATTTAACTTTTAGTTTATAATTCTGTCATTGATGTGATCTTTTTTGCAATAAATGTAACTAGCAGCTAGGGGAGATCTGCGTAGGGCACATTACGCGTTTGAGAGATTTCCCATAACTATGATATTTGCAGCTTATTTACTTGAAAACACAATTTTGGTGTTCTCGCGGGGTGACGAATTTGCACCCTATTTTTAAGCCTCACCGTGGGGCATTTGCAACTTTTCCAAAACAAAATGACAAATGACCAGGGGATGGGCACGCTTGGAATTGACTGAGCCATTAGCCATAGGCACCCTTTGATTAAAAGTAGCGCCATTAATGTAGTAAACATCAAAGACTTAAACACAACACTTGTTTTGGAACATTTATCTCGTCGATATCTTCATAACGCATACAAACAACCAGAAATATACAATAAATATTTATAACTAAGCGGCATAACTACAGAATACAGGCCGGGCAACTCAAACCAGCTAGGGTTCCTATACAACTAAAAGAAATTCATGGGAAACGGCAGATATTTCTAAACTTCAAACTATGATTTCCTAATCCATACGCTACTCTTTGCAAGGCGTACAGTTAAAATCCGCGAGTATAAAGAACCTGATTTTTCCCAATTTATCCTGAAGAGGTTCTTATAAATGGTCATTAGCACAAATTTACGTTCTTAAATAGACTAAATAGGGTCTTATTTTCTGGAGAAAAAAATACTTTGTAGCTAAGACTATTTAGCCGTCTTCAGCTTATCACCTGTCTCTGAAGAGGTTCCTGAATGTTGACGTATCTTATTTGCCACAGTGTACAAAATATTTTAGAGAATTTAGAAAGTAAGAACCTGTTTCAAATTTTAGGCTAAATAGCTTCTTGTATAGAGAGGGCCTAACTGGCAAATTTTAGTCTATCAGGTCCCTCAAAAATAACAGGCTCTATTTTAGTACTTGCGGATTTTTACTGTAGCACATACAGCCGTTTTAAGGCTTACTACGTTAAAGATACAGAAAAAAACTTGTACGAGTTTAAATACACACTATTATCTTTCAGCAAATAGTGTTTGCAAAGTTTCCTTAAGCACTAAGTCTTAAAAACTCCAGCACCTTTGCCTTACACTGTAGACGGAAGTATCATAGGCTTCAATGAATTTGGAATCTTGGGTGAAGATAAATTAACATTACTGCACAAAAAAAATAACTCTAGAGTCAGGGGCGGATCTAGGGGGAGGGTGCAGGGGGTGCGCCCCACCCCCCGCTGAGATGACCTGCGGTTTTCTAATACAACTGGCATTGTGCAAAAACAAATAAAATCTATGTGGTTTATTGGTGTTGAAGTAGAGCAAGAGACGAGTGCACCCTCTCCTAAAAAAAAGCCTGGATCCGCCCCTGAGAGTACAACAAAAAGAAGGTATTTACAACGGTATTTAGAGGTAAAAGGTAACAACTACCGTCAAAGATTCCTAAGAATAGCCCCCACTCCCAGAATTTTGCAATATTTGTTTGTAAACATCATTTTTTGTTATTCGATCACACGTGCCAATCACCGAGACAAGAGAAACTTTTGTTTCAATAGCCAATGATCCTTTGTTTGGCACAATAATAACAATAGGTGACGTAAAACGAAATATCGCTATTATTGGGGACGTGGGCACTAACGCAAGGAAGTGTTTTTGTCTTCTTATAACTTTTAAGAACAGTGGTAGAAGAAATTTCCTTAATGATTGTTTCTTGGGTCAAAATGTTTTGAGCTGGGTTAACCCTTCCACACTCAAAAGTCAATGGTAGAGATATTAAACACAGTCCCAAAATTCTTACATGTGACCACTGAAATGAAAGCTACTGAGCTGTACTTTCCTGTGGTACTGTTTATTATGCTGTACGAGGTAGTTCTAATTTTTGAGTCTTTGGTTGAAATCCTGAAGTGTGACCATTCAAATGAAAGCTACCGAGCAGAACTTTCCCGTAGAGCTGCTTACTATGTTGTACAAGGCTGTTCTAACTTCCAAGTTTGTGCATGAAATCTTATTGTTTGACCATTTAAATGAAAGCTAGTTCGAGTACTTTCCTGTGGAACTGTTTATTTAGTAAAAAGTTCTGTCTTTTTAGCCTGTCAACCGAATCCCATGATGTTACTATTTAAATCAAACCTCTCCACAAGCACTTTTACATGGTATGCTTTGTTTGTCAGCACTGAAAACAAAAACTCGATTTTTTCCTCAATTTTGACTCGGTACCTTTTGGGAGTGAAAGAGCAAAGGAAGGTTGTAGTCTGCTAGTAGTTTCTATTCAGTCGGTTAAATGCCAAGCTAGTGCAGCAAAGGCAGGTTTAGAGACAATGTAGATGGAACAGCAGGAATAGTTTCATTTTTTGCCTACTCAATATGCTTTTCTTAATATGCAACAATACTAAGGGACTGCTACAGGACTTGACTACTAGAAAGCTATTGCTCTGGCACACACCAAACAACTTCAATGTCTGTGCATTGGTTTGTCTTATGATAAATAAGATATCTTGAACTAGATAACTTCTCATGTACAGAAGTACCATAATTAAGAGAGAACAAAGTCTAGCATGAGCAAAAGGCAAATTTACATTAATTTGAGTAATAGTTTATACAGGCAGGGATGCACTCTAGCTGCACCCACTGGTGACGTTCAAGAAATCTAACAAATCTCAGTTTTGTATAAAATAAGATGCACGGTGCCTTGCAGAGGTTTTCAGGTAACTCTGATAAAAATCTTTCTTACAGCACAACCTTTCCATTAGTAAGTCTTGTGCGGGTTTGTTTGATTCCACTTTGGCTACTTTAAGCATGAAACAAAAAACAACAACAGCAAAAATTTAACGACACCGTTTACCATTTTTACATAGACCATAATGCACCTTGTTTACCCCCCAAAATTTTGCATAACCACTGTCTCCAATTTCTTTGTAATGACTGTGATACCCTGGAGGAATTGGAAACAATAGTTATGTACTGTTTTGGGGGTAAACAAGGTGCATTATCGACAGTGAAAATTGTGAATTCTAAAAAATAACCCAGGTAAAATTTAAAAACTTGAAAAAATTTACAGTTTCTTTTTTTTGGCAATGTAGCTACAAGCCTAACATTATCCAACTTGGTGGTAGCTCAACAAAAGGAATGGTCTGCTCTTTACTTTTTTTGGTTTGACAAAGTTTTAACATAACGGCTGTCTAACATAGACATTATTGTGTTAAAAAAGGTTTCATGCATGATACTCTACATTACATACTGTCTTTCTAAATTATGTTACCAAAAAGAAAAGTGTTTTCCTGTTTAATCACTGAGCTGCATCTGACAGTTCAAACATGTCTTGTTCCACAGGTTTTCTGATCCATGAACCAAGACCTTGGCCATGGAATCCTTTCATCACAATCATTTTTGCTGATTGATAGTCCACCGCTCCTTCTTTTGCATCATGGTATGAGAGCGGTACCTGTTCTGCAGGCTTGAGCTTCCTCCAGAGAGATATAAACCGTTTAAACAGATTCTGTTTGCAAAGTCGCGAGGCTACTGGAACCTCACCTACCTTTCCTCTTATGGCATTGACCAATTCAAAACCTTCATCACCTTCACTCCAATTTACACTGGTATTTGGAGATTTGATCGTTATCCTCGCTTCTGGGGCTGTAGTACCATTCATCAAAGGGCGGCTCTGTTTGAAAAGTGGTGGTAGTCCCACCAGATCACCAAGCCTCTGATACATTGCTCTAGACATGTGTTCGTAGTGATACAAGCTGCCGAGAACAATTGACTGAAGATACACTGGCTCCAGGAAGTGACTAAGGAGGGATCCTTGCACTCCGATGACATTCCATCGACACAGTTTGTCTGAACAAGACATAGTCCGCAGACGTTCTCCCTGAAGGACACCATCCCATGTCTGAATGGTTGTGCCTCCATTGAAGGCTGGAATTGTACCTGTCAGAAAAAGAAAAAAGAAAACTAAGAAGAAACTCTTGGTGATTGAAAATAACAACTGCAAACATGTTGTGAAATGTTGTCCTAATTCACAGGGATGTCACTAAGATTTCAAGTTGCCGGGTAAATGCAACAAGTAGGCGGGGAATAAAACAGCTGGGAAACTTTTCTTCTATTTTGCTATGAAAGTATCCGGGGGACACATTCATGGCAGCCGGGGGAAGTCCCTGGCCCCTACCTCTTACTGACAGCCCTGAATTCATGTCTTCAAAAAGAATTACAAAAATCTTTGCATATGTTATGAAATGTATTTTATGTATTTTTCCTCAAAGATATTAGCTCCTGTAAGTTCCTCTAAAATTTCAGAGTAAAATAAAGGTTGTGTATGTACGTAAGTACATCGTCCAATCACCCTGAGTTTGAATTTCATCATGGGGAGCTCCTCCTACAGTACAGTCACCTCCCTTTATAGCGGACACCACAGGAACCCTGAGTTAGTGTCCTCATTAGCAAGAGCCTGTAATAGGGAGAGTTTATTTCAGTCAATCATCCGTTTTATTTTTGCGGCGGATGTAGCGGCTGTCCGTATTATATAGTGGGGTGTCCGCAAGGCAAGAGCTGACTGTATTCTGCAGCAGGTTTTAGTGGGAGAAAAATGATCCTTATTTGATTGTCAATGTACTTAGCACAATATGAGGACTTGGTTTTTACATCTCCTACTGGAGACGGAACTGCCATTTTATGTGGTCATCTGAGCCTTGCAAAGGTCTAGCCGTTTGCAGGGCAAAGGCAGAAGATCATTTCTCAGTTAAGCCCCTGAGTAATGGACTGAGTCTAGGAATTGACCNGATTGTCAATGTACTTAGCACAATATGAGGACTTGGTTTTTACATCTCCTACTGGAGACGGAACTGCCATTTTATGTGGTCATCTGAGCCTTGCAAAGGTCTAGCCGTTTGCAGGGCAAAGGCAGAAGATCATTTCTCAGTTAAGCCCCTGAGTAATGGACTGAGTCTAGGAATTGACCTACAAACTCCTGGGCCCAGTTGTTTGAAGGCCGATTAGCGCTTAACCCGTGGTTAAATTAAACCCGGGTTTCTTTTTCCTGTGTTCAAAAGCATTTTCTCGGATAATTTTCTCTGTTATTTTTAGAGCTTCCAATCATCGACTTGTCGACAAAAAGAATTAAAACTGAAATGCTTTTTAAGCTTTCAAATCTGAATTCAAATCTTACACTAACCCTGGGGTATCTTAACCCAGCTTTGAACAACTTAGCCCTACTCAGCAATCAAGCATTTTGGTTGCAACAGTTATATATTTTTAATTTTATTGGTCTGTAGTCTATCCCCCACAATGTGGTGTAATTCTTTTGTTTCTGTCATATTGAGTTTTAGTTCTCTTGAAAATGTCTTAAAAATTGTGCATTTTACATAGATATTGAAACCAATTCATGACAAAATAATAGTTATTACAAAATATTGGATGTATATGTTGCGGTTCAATTTGTTCTTGGTTAAATTTATTTTCCTTTGTTTTGGGGTATGGTAGTATGAAATAAATGAAAAATACATTTTAAAACAAGGATAAAATAATATTGAACCACAACATACACATGGCATCTGATCAAGGCTGATATTTTGATACACAGTGGTATTGTGTAATCTGTGTGTCATATGACTTTTTACAGACGGCTATAAAAGCAAAACCATTTAGTTTGTTTCATTTACTGCAGTTGAAATGAGACGGTCATTGAAGTCCACGAGATCTAGAGAGCAGAAACAGCTGTGTATTTTCTTAGTTTCTATGGCTAAAACAAACAGAATGAGAGTAGTTCTGTAGTTCGGCTAAAAATTTGACTCTGGATTGTTACAAAACAAAATTGAATATCGCAACATTTACAATATATTTACAAAACAAAATTGAATATCGCAACATTTACAATATATTTACAAAACAAAATTGAATATCGCAACATTTACAATATGTCAAGGAGTACAAGGAGTTAATCCCATCAAGCATGTAAGATCCAAGTGTAACATTTTTTCTATTATTCATTTTTGCTTTAATTGCATACTTTAATTTATTAAGCTTATAGTTTGTCACCCTTTGTGTAGTATCTTTCCACAAGTTTTGGTGTTTAGTTCTTGAGTTATTTTTCAACCCCTCGTTAGTGTCTCTTTACATCTTTCATCTTCATCAACATCTTTTTTGTCAGCTTCTTTAGTTTGCTTTTGTGTATGTTCCACATATTCTACCGTAATTTATATTGTAGTTCTGCAGTACACTTTGTTCAGTTCTTTTTGGTCTGTACTAACCGTAGTTCTGTTTTGATTCTTACAAGTCTCATTGCATTATTTGCAGTCTGCTTCACAGCAGTTTTCTCTGGTCGAAACAATGTCAGTGTATTTTACAGTCATCGCTTTTTGCAGTCTTTGTTATTTCCTTAGTCGCAACTTGTAAGTTTTCGCTCTTTTATCGTTTTAGTTTCAACCCACTCAGTTTGTATCCACTCAGTTTGTATCCACGCTGTTTGCATCCACACTGTTTGTACCACACATTTAACTGATTTCAAGTACCAAGCGTGTTGGTTACAATAAATTTTCGTTCGAATTTGGTTTGTGGTGTTGATACTAAAGCCCAAGAGACTTTTACCCTTATTGTAGTTTCATAATCATTTACCATTTTGCAGTATTTTTGGAAAGTGAGAGTATTTCATCTTGTTACCAAGAGTCGTGGAAAATAATAGCTACAGCTCCGGACAAAATGTGTTGTTGAGACACAATTCCTATTTTTTTCCTGTCACCCTGGCAAAAATAGAAACTGTTGCCAAATAAACAAGTGCTTTCCCTCACCCCCTTCCCCCTTATCCAATGTTGTTTAGAGAAACACAAGAATTAAAAACATCATTGAATATGGGTGGGCTTATTTTTCACTGTTTAGAGGAAAGGGTACTATAGCGTAAAGGTTAGAAAACAGACTGAACTGTCTCAGCAGCTTTATCGCAAGGTGTAGCCATCTCTAAATGTTATGTCAAAATTTAACACAGCATAAAGAAGTTAACAAACCTTCACCATTTTCCAGCTTCACCCGAAGAAGGCCTCTCTTTTTCCTTCCTGGATGTTTATCACCTTCACCAGAAACTTGCTCGTGCGGAGAAAAGATACGTGCATCACCACATGGTGAGGTGTTGATATACAAGTGGAATTCAACATAATCTCTTAAGCCATACAAACCACTCTCTTTTTTCTCAAAAATGGACTCTTCCTCATATCCTTCAGCGCATAGTTCCAACTGAGAGAACAAGAAGCGCAGAAACGATCTTCTTGCAATGATTTCTCCATGGCAATCATTCAAGGCTAGTCCTTGATCGCTTATGTACTCTCCACTTATAAACTTAGTCCCTGTACCCAGACTTATCACTTCGAATTTTTGAGAACTGTCTCCCCGGCTTGTCATTACAACTCCAGCCAAAACTTTTCGCCGAATTGGCTCCTGTCCTGCTGCTGACTGCAGACTCTGAAACTTTGTTAACACAGCCTCGGCAATTAGATCTGCAGCTAGTGGATCTAATTGTGCGGAGGGTGGAGGTCCCAAGTATGTTGGTTGATATCTGGCTTCGGATTGTCCAGTGAAGGTGTAAAATGTGCGGATGCTGTGCAGTGCAAAGAGAGCTTTGGAAGCAACGTTCGCTTTGCCTTTCTTTTTACTGCCACCCATGCCAATAAATTCCTGTCCATCAACAGTGACTTTAAACTTGAACTGTTTGGCATTTTGATCACCCTCCTCGCCAAGGAATTCATACTGGGTGCCAGGATGAAATTCGTTCAACAGCATTACTGGATGTTTCCCTGTATCAGTTTGCATCTGGGGAGCTTTGGTTCTGCTTGATGGCATAGATACATCAGCTGCTGGACGCTCAGTTTCGCTCTCTGGCATGGGCTGGTCGCCATTTCCAAAGGTTTTCATGAGCGTTCCAGTGTTATCCGAGGTAAAATCGGAAACAGAGGCAAGACCAGCTTGCTCCTGGCTTTCTGCACGCAGCTGTTTAGCTGGCGTACGCATCTGAGTAATAAAAGAACCCAAAGCATTTTCAGCAGCATTGTGTTTCGCTTTCTGTTTCGAGGAGCCCTTTCCTTCGAATGTGTGTCCATCTACAACAACCGTCACTACAAACGTAGGACAATGTGTGGGACCTTCTTGTGAGGTGACTTCATAATTCAAACCAGGTCGTATCTCGTTAAGTTGCATTAAGGCGTTTTTAGGCCCTCTCTGAACAAGGCCACTAAGATTACTACCTCTTCTTCTATTCGGTCGCCGTTTCTTTTTCGGTGGCGGCGTCCCCGAATCTGGCTCTTCTTTCATGACTTCATCGCCACTTTCTACAGCTCCTTAACGAACACTTTCTTCTCCTGAAGGTTGATCTCGTTTTAAAGTTTGGTTTCCAGAAACAGGCAAGTCTCCCAGTCCGGGAATAACGACATCTGTCTCAGTTTTGAACGCATCTGTACTCGCTTCGGCCGCCATTTTTACGTTTCCTGAGGGCTCACGCACACGTGCCTTTCGGTTTCAAAACGAGGCCATCCGAGGTATCAAGCCTTCCTAAGGGGCTAGGGGAGAGGAGATTTTAGCTAGGGGAGGGGGGAGGGGGAAGCTCTTTTTGAAGTTCTCGGTGCGGGTGATTCTGTGTCGGACAAAGAAGAAACAGAACAAGAAAAGAAAAACTCGGGTCAAGAAGGAGAACAAAATGATATCGAGGAAGATAATGATATAAGAAATGAGGCTGCTTCATTCTGGTGTATACTTTTTGCTACTTGATAGAACTGTCCAACTGTCTATACAAATAAGACCAGGGGCCCGTTTCTCGAAAGTCCCGGTAACTTTACGGGCCCGCAATCAAATATTCAAATCGAAATATAAAGAATAAGAGCGCGGGTCCTGGCTAGCAGACTACTCCATTTTGTTTCACTAACTGATAGTTTTATCATGCTAGATACAAAACTATTGAAACCTCGATCCTTAATGTAAACGGAGACAGCTTACCGGGCCCGTTAATTATCGGGACTTTCGAGAAACGGGCCCCAGGCCGGTTGTAACAGTTCAGTTAGACGAAATGAGAAGTTCAGGAGTGAGCAAGTGGTTTATGTTTCGGTCCTGAGTGAACGAAGGTATATATCATTTTTTTAATCTTGACCTTAGATTTCATTTTACAGTTCAGCTGCATCCCACTGTTCGGTTACACACCAGGAACTGCAATGTCAACATCAATTTTTTCTCCCAACAGCGCAAAAGAAACCCGTTTAAAAAGCAATGTTTTTTTTGCGGTTTCATGTTGGTGTCAAATGAAGAAACCTGCATGGCTTGCTAGTAAATTTATATTGGGAAAGTCCGGTCACACGCACCACGCCAATTTCCCGCAGTATTTGTATTTTGACTAGTCTCCCTCGCAGCCGTTTTTTGGATGTCACGCAACGCGTTGCGTGACATCCAAAAAACGGCTGCGATTGACAAGCCAATTGTAATGTCTTTTCCCCATGTAGATGAATTCGCTTACATTTTTTTAATTCTTATTCTTAATATCTTCTTTAATTTGACACTGTTTTCTCAAGAGCCTTTTAAGATAACCGAGTGCTAAAGAAAAAGGGCAAGGGGTAAGGACATTTATTTACTACAAAATTTGCCATATTAACATTAATTCAGAATTTTTTTAACAGGTGTTTGCGATAATCGTCCTCGAAAACATGATGTCGTGAACATATTTTACGGTATGTTTATTCATAAAGTGAAAGCGATTCCGCAAACATTTTACTCTATTTGAATTTCTAATACTATGTGGTTTCTGTTTGAACGTTCAGTGTACATATTTCTACAGCAAATATTTACACTACATTGTCCATTAATATCGAATCAATCAACTCCTTTAACGCGTTTACGTACATGTTCTGCTCAATCGAACGATGCTGATTATGAAAAACTATTCTACAACCACATCATTTTTAACTAGGTTACGACCGCTGATTCCATAAAACAGTTTTATTAGTAAGCCTTCAAAATGAAGTTGGTCAGTTTGGTAATTTTCTTTGGATTAATTTTTGCCTACTTACAGGCAGCTAAATCTTTGAACAACGAACCAAGCGGTAAGATGCAAAATCAACAGCGAACATAACCTCTAATTTTTACCTCTAAACTGGATTTATTATCCTTCGTTTTTGTTTTGGATTTGAGGCTTCTAGATCTTGTTATTCTCATTTGTTCTTCCTGAATTAGTTATTTTCTATTTTTATTTTAATTACGGTTAACATGCTCTCGGCTTGACCCTAACTAAAGCGGCGCACGAGCTTTTTCAACTTAACTCGTCTCTCCAAGATTAGAACGCTCTTTTCCACAAACTAGCTCAATTAATATAATTTTTGTGTCTTTTTTTAAGCCCACAGTGACAGAGCTACCATCGTTAACAGCGGCGACACCATCATTTTGCATCCAGCCCTTAGGAAGGACACTGGGCAGTCATTACATTGCACGAAGACTGCCTGCAAATGGAAGCCATGTTCTTATAAAGCAAAAGATTCCTCGACCTGCTTAAATTACGCGAAGTTCATCATAATTGGCCAAGGAAAAATGAAAGGGAAACCTATCAACAGTGGGGACACAGTGTCTCTGTTCTCTACTAAGTTCGGTCCTCACTACAAGCTGACTTGCAGTAGATCTTCCAAAGTAAAGTGTCACTTAGCTAAGTAAGTAGTAAAGCTGTTGGAGTTTGGAAGTCTTAGTTGCCTTTTGCGAGATCATACTGAAGCAACAGAGGACGAGGAACTTTAGCTGTTTCGATTTTTGCCTTGCATATTTTTTCTTTATGAGTTAGTTTTTATACCGAAGTAAGAATTTAAGACATAACGCGGCATTGCAAATGATTGAAACATAGGCGCTATATTTTTAATCCTAGCGTTGATCTCTCTAACTCCCACTTTTTGCTATTTTTTCTAGATTCAACCGCGAAATGACAGGAAACAACTGGTTGATCTACCAGTACGCCACTTTTCAAATATTTTCTAGAGACACAGAGGATTTGAACCCAGTGCAGTATGGCGATGTGGTGGGACTCAAGTACTTATTCAGTTCCAGCAAAGCATGGCTGACCAGAAGCGGCAAATTCCTTTATCCGCGTAGCTGTAGCAGAAATGACAAAATCTCTTGCGCAAAAGAGGACACTTTCACAGGCTTCAAAATCTTTAAGATGAAGTCGTAACGTGACAGAAGAGTCAGCATGAATTCCTCAACATAAATTTGAACATAAACGGATTAGTTTTTTGACTAAAGGAGTTTGGGTGAAATGTCTTTAAGAGTCTTAAGGGATACCTTTATTTTTCTCAGTTTTTGCAACTTAATAAAGAAGTTGAGGAATGAGCCCTGCACGTGTAATGGTACTTCACTGATTTCGCACATTTGAGAAGACAAACCGATCCGTGTAGTTTCGGTCATGATCCCTAGTCTA